CATGCAGCAATGAATGAACTACAAGGTACATACTGTATGCTTCTGGTAAAAATCTGGACTCCTGAAGGGTTCACTGAAATGTTCTTCTGGTTTCAGAAGAAGGATACAGTCAATGTTTTTACTGTACAGACACATCAGATTTTACATGTAGTCCAGATATTATCTTCCATATGTAATATTTTTTTTCATTTCTGCTTCTATCTTTTTTCTTATTTTCTTATGGTGAATATAAAATAAGTCTCTGTGTGAGAAAGAGGCAAGGGAGGAGGGAGGGAGAGAAAGAGAGAGAGAAAATGTGTGTGAACATTGACTCCTAACAACTGCTTAAACAGGTGCCTGTAGCTTACTTAGTAAAATTTCAGAAGAGGTTTGCCATTGCCTCCTTCCTAAGTGTGAGAGAGAGTGATTGGCCCAAGATTGCCCAGCTAACAAGAAAATAGAAGACTTACAGATAGAAGAGGGTTCTAAAGAAAATAGAAGACTTACAGATAGAAGAGGGATATAATCAAGATCACGTGAAATGTTAATACCACTCTATAATGCCTTGGTAAGACCATACTTGGAATACTGCATCCAGTTTTGGCATCACAATGTAAAAAAGATGTTGAAACTCTAAAAAAGTAGAGAAGAGCAACAAAGATGATTAGGGGACTGGTGGCTAAAACATATAAAAAATAGCACTAGGAACAGCACTTAGACTAATATATTGCTTCACAGTGCTTTACAGCCCTCTCTAAGTGGTTTACAGAGTCAGCATATTGCCCCCAACAATCTAGGTCCTCATTTTACTGACCTTGGAAAGATGAAAGGCTGAGTCAACCTTGAGCTAGTGAAGATCGAACCCCTGTCAGTCAGCAGAATTAGCCAGCAATACTGCATTCCAACCATTGTGCCACCATGGCTCCTGGAATTGGGTAGGTTTAGTTTAATGAAAAGAAGGACTAGGGGTGACATGATAGCAGTGTTAAAATATCTCAAGGGTTGCCACAAAGAAGAGGGAGTCAAGCTATTCTCCAAAGCACCTAAATGCAGTACAAAAAGCAATGGATGGAAACCAATCAAGGAGAGAAGCAACCTAGAACTAAGGAGAAATTTCCTGACAGTCAGAACAATTAATCAGTGGAACAACGTGCCTCCAAAAGTTGTGGGTGCACTGGACATTTTAAAGAAGAGATTGGACTACCATTTGTCTGAAATGGCATAAGGGTTCCTGCCTGAGCAGGGGGTTAGACTAAAAGATCTCCAATGTCCCTTCCTTCCAACTCTATTATTCTGTTAAGACAACAGCATGGATATATCAGCCAAAAGGAAAGCAATTTTATGAAGGCACAATAATAAGAATAATAGCTAAATCTTATTTCAAACTAGCTGGTTTTGAAAAAGGGAAGGCATTGTCACATTGCTATTTTCTGTAAAACCTTTTAAAAACTAGATTTTAGATATTCTTTTTATTTGGGACTGTTTACCTAGTTTCATGTAGAACAAGAGCCAGATCAATAGATGCCTGTACAAGAGGGCATGTACAGTATAGTACGTAAGTATAGTTCCACTTTTCTTTACTAGATTTGCTAGAAATCACATGTGTATTTCTTATAGCCACCGCCATTTATCACATGACGGTGATTATCTCTTTGTTTTCTTCCAAACTTAAATGTTTTCTTAGCTTAGAACTTACTTTGCACTAACAAAGAAGTGCAGAGTAAGAATGGAAACAGCCAAAGGGCAGTTAATCACAGAGGAGACTGTAAGGAGGCAGCTGGTCTAAGTAGTGAATTGTTTAGAAATCATAGTATTTTTACAACAGCTTTTTTATGACAAAAAACAAAGGAAGATTTGAGCTGTACTAGAAATTGTTACAACCTCCTTGGGATATGTATAGAGTTCAGAATACCACCAGAGAAGATTAAGGACATTCTGTATTTATATTTATATTTGTCTTGCAAGCAACCTGAGTTCTTCCTTTTTTTTTTTTTTTGAAAAAAAAATTATTTTTATTTTTCATCAATATATTTAAATGTACAGTCTTTTATCCATCCTTATACATTGTTCATTCTGAGTTCTTCCTCATGGCCATATTAACAAACTATCTTCCAGTCCCTGAACCACCCAAAAAATACACTAGCCTAAATTAGCCTTCATTGACATATGAGCCCAATGGTGCCTATTTTCCTTCAAGCTGACAATTCTGTCCTTACAGTTTTCTTGTGGGATAAGTTAAGGAAAGTGGAAGATTTTGCTTCTCCTCTTTTGGGTGGTGGTGGTAGATAGAATACTGTAGGGCAAGGCTAGGTAGGTGCCTAGGATGGAGAGTTTGATACCTTCTAGGATGCTTTGCAAGCACAGAAGTGTCCCATGCTTGTGACTCTCCTTGGGCTATTTTTGAACAAGGGTCTAGAACTATAGACCCATGTTCAGAAATAACCTGAGTGATATGTGACAGGTGCAGAGAAAGTGCTTGGGAAACATCAGAGTAGCTCCTTCCTGCTTCACCCCATACTCTTCTCCCATGCCTGCAACCTGTCACTCAGTTGTGGAATGTAATGGACAAAGTAATCAGTAAATTCTGCAAGGGAATAGCAGTGCTGCTGACAAGTAGAAATAGCTTATTGAAGTTTAGGCAACATGGCATTATGCCAGCATGGAAATAGAAACAATAAACAGCCATGCAAAAACTCCTTATGATTAAATCTGTAATGCACTCATTGGTAATAGTAGAATATAGCTGGCAGAACCTGGCTCTCTTTGGAAAGCTCAAATAATGTTCTAAGGCTACAAGGTCTGTCAATATCTCTTAGCACTAAACTCTTATCAAAAATATGATTTTAACTGGACAAGCTAAATACAATTTTATTCTGTCTCTGCTGTGGATTGGGAATGAAACAAAGGCAATAGCATGGAGGAATGTGATTTAAAAATGGTGTGCAGGGCATTATAAATAAGGGGTTGTGAGCCTCTGAATTGATTCTAATAATGATGGCCCTTGGCCCTTCCTTCTATGCCCTTTTGACAAGCATGTCACAAGTACTGTAGATAGAGGAGGGGCGCTTGTTGGAGATGCAACTACAGGAGTAGGAACTCTTTGTGCCCTTATCCTATTGATATCAAAAGGAAAGGAACTCCCTCTTTGCTCCTCTCCTTCTTTCCTCTCAATTTCTCCTTATTAGAAAATTGATACTCTTAGGCTCCCTTCATTCTGCTTCTGGATCCAGAATCCTCTCTGTCATTTCACATTGCAATCCACCCCAAATCTGTCAATAGTTGTTAGGCTACTTTTCAACATGTGTTTGGCATTTTTCTGGTTGTCATTGGATAGTCAGATTCCCTTTGAATACACCGACAAAAGATATTTGTGTAAAAACACAGAGAATTTTGATTAAGGATTAAACTCACCAACCCATCAATCTAGCCAGCTAGTCAAAACTCACTTCCAGCCCAACAAATTTTTACTTTGGAATTTTCCATTATGCTAAACCCCTGGTTTACCTTATCTTACCTAGCTTCTATAGATAGATTAGAAATATGTGGCCCAGAAGTTTGACTTTTCCATTTTTTATTATCTATATTCCTCCCTTTCTCTCTTTTTTTCTTTCATTTTTAGCTGATTCCATACTTGTGGTTTCAACTATGTAGGAAAGTGTCTGTGACTTTTATGTGTGTCAAGCTAGTTTATTTGAATGGAAAATTTGCACCTATAGCAGAAGGAGACCTGATTCTGCCTGAGAGAAAGATGCCCTCAATAGTTGGTTTACCATAATATACTAGGAAAGAACATTGTGAAACAAGAATAATCAGTCAAAATGAACAAATCTAGATGTAACAGCAAAACAAGCTAATCAGTTGGTTTGGGAAACATGTAATGAATGAAAAATACAAAAACACAAGTGAGTAAACATAGTTTGTAATCACAAATCAAAGAAGCAGGAAGACGTTCCTGGTTCTCTCTCCCTTTCTTCAACCATTGGATAAATGAAATGCAATCAACAACTCCAGCTGCTATGACAAGAAATTGAGGCAATGGCATAGAAGATGACAAATTCCTGAATCAGTGTCTACTTTGGACAAAACTTACCCTTCTTGCTTTCTAGTACTGTAAATGTAATAATAAAGAATATGAAAAATAGAAGGACCCAAGTAATTTCCTGACTTGTAATATTTCATCCTGAAATACTGCATGTCTGAATTTCATTACCAGAGCTACTATAATTCATATTGTATACAAACAAGATTTTATTTATATGACTACCTACTTGCCAACCAACTCTGGAGAACTAGTAAGTTAAACACATCAAAAAACGCATTAGCCCTAACAAAGCTACATATAAGCATATACAGCACCAGAAGTTCACTTGTTCACCTCTTGAGTTATCCTGTGTGAATTGTCCATGGCAAGTTGGCCCCAGGGCGAGTTAGCTGCAGCAAGCCGACCAGGGCGAGTTGGCCATGGCAAGATGGACCGGTTGAGTTGGCCATGGTGAATTGTCCCATTCCAGTTACATCTATCAACACAGTGTCCTTGTACAGAATACGACAACATAGAATTAAAGAGTTGAATGAGGCCATCTGCAATAACTCCCAGCTCAAGAGGATAATAATTTAGGAAGGTGTTGCCAGAAACTAGTGTTTACTTCCAGGTTCCAGCATGAACACACAAACAATGGGTTCGCTTAATAACCACCACAAAAAATGTCATAAAATTGGGTCCAGTCACATTATAACCTAATTTATAACAGTCCTGATTTAAGACTGTAATTGCCAGGCTCAACTATGGTTGCAAATCAAGGACTATATATACAACATTTTCTGTTTCATCTCAAGCAGAAAAATGTCTTAGGCTAGTCCTTCTGAGGCCAGAAAAAGCAAATAAGCAAAGTTATTTGTTAATTTTTTATTAAACCAGAACTTTCTGCTTCTGGCAAACAATTAACAGAAGATCCCTTAAGGGAGACCAAAGGAAAAAAAAAATTTAAAATTCCATTGGCTTTATTTTGGGTTCAGGGATTTAAACCATAGTCAGAAACAGCAGAATGATCCAGTAGTTATACCTTTCACTGACTGTAAAGGAAGCAATGTCTAAGTAGGGTAGACAAATAAGTTCTTTGCTATGTTACCCAAAGAACCACAAAAAATATCAGAAGCAGAAATATGTTTGCATGATATTTAATTTTCCATCTCTTAACAGGTGCAGAATTCTCAGGCCAGAGAAGCCTAAACAGACCTGTCTGGAGAAAACAGAAGGGCAGGAGTAGGTTGTCAATGTGTTGCTGTTTCTGAACTGAATTTACTATATATATTAACAGGAATCTGAAGAGGACTGACAGAACAAAAGAGACTCAATACTCATTGAGGTACTGGAAGATTTTTCAGGAGACTAGAGAAAAGGGAGTGCTGCAACATTTATCTAAGATTTGTTTATTTTGCTTGACTCTAATAACCCTTCTATTTAAGGTCAGCGATGGGCAGTTTGTTCCTAGTGCAGCAGGCAATAGGTTGGTGTCGTGTTCGGCTGCCCGTGGTTGTAACTAAGAGATTCTGTACCATGTCTTCTCAAAGACTTTGGATGTCTCCTCCTGCATCTCTACTACAGCCACTGTCTGTCCCAGACAGATTATTACTAGGACCTGGGCCTTCCAATTCTCCTCCACGGGTCTTGTCTGCAGGTAGCCGGCAGCTCATAGGACACCTACACAAAGAGCTGATTCAGGTAAGGACTATACTTCCAACTTCTCCTAAGATCAGCAGGATTCCTCCATCAATTTCTAGTCACTGCTTTGTAACCTAGAGATACCACACTGAGATATGTTTATTTACTCAATATTAAATTGATTTTTATTTTAATAAAGCTCATATGCTCTTAATTATTTTTTTTTAATTTGATTTATATGCCGCCCTTCTCCGGAGACTCAGGGCGGCTTACTATGCATTAAGCAATAGCCTTCATACTTTTGTATATTTATACAAAGTCAGCTTATTGCCCCCACAAACTGGGTCCTCAATTTACCTACCTTAGAAAGGATGGAAGGCTGAGTCAACCTTGAGCCTGGTGAGATTCGAATTTATAGTAATTGCAGACAGCTGGTGTTAATCACAATGCTATCAGTCTGCTGAGCCACCAGGCCCTGTATGTAAAAATGTAAATTAAATTAAAAATTAAAATGTAAATAAAATTACATTTTATTTATTGTATTGATTAAGCCAAAAACCAGCTAATGGCAAATAAAACAGCTGGAGTTTTTAAAATGAAATTTTTGATAATTTTTCAGAGCTTTATTGAGAACAGCCTCATATGATTTTGTTTAATTTGGATATTCTGAGTAACAGTTTACAAATCTTCAGGAAAAACAGCTCTTTAAATAGATTCAAAAACTGCTGCTGAGATCTTGTAATCTTCATTCTTCCATATGTCAGTGAAAAAAAAAATCCCTTTCAGTTCTGTTGCCTGGGAAGGGTTGTACAGTTCAAGTTAAAAATCTATAATCTCTCAGATAATCTGGATATAATCTTTTTATGGATGATGTGTTGTTGATATGTTTTGTATTGATGTCTCCTGAAATGTAATCCCATGTAATTTTAAATCATCAGGCACCTTCTTCCATACTATAATTGCAACTTTGATTGAATTCTAACATTTGTTATTACCCCTCATAGTAAAACAGAATTACTGCTTATTGTAAAAAGAGAACAACCAATAGGCTATTTGATGAAAAGAAATACAGAGTGAAGAATAAGACTTAACATCTGGTTGCAACTTGCATCATTATATTGTATCTCAGCTTTTCTAGCCTCTTTTTCTACCGTCTCATCCTGGAACCTAGTTGCTAAATGGCTCGTCTAGAGAAATTGATCAGCACAATTTCAGAATTATTTCAACCTCTTTGTTCTACAGTATGTCTGATCTGATCAATGATCAGAAAAATTATAAAAACTTGTATCAGTAAAACAAGGCTGAGTCATCTTTGCATCATTGGTCATATCACTTTCATTGCAGCTACACAGGAGCACAAACCCTAACCTTAAGGGAATGTTTTAGGTTTTAAAGCAGCTGAACATAAAACCTATTTGTTCTGTCAGGATAAAAGTGGAAAGGGGGAAAATATAACTGTTACCAAAATTCCTTGGAAACACAGTATAATTGTTGTAAGCCATCCAGAGTTGTGCTTTAAGATGGGAGATGGTATAAATCTTAAAGAGAAAATAAGCTGTATTGGTTCAATTTTCCACAGAGTCACATGGCACTAGAATGGAGAAAGTTGTTGTAGGATTATTAATTTCAGAGACATTTTGACGACAGTTCAGTTTCTTCTACCTATTGACTTTTTTTCCTTAAAGCAAAGTATGTTTAAAACAAATACCTTTTAGTTGATATAACAATATTAGTTAGTTTCTCCTATGCATGTTACTCTCAGATGTAAATACATTAAACTATCTCTGAGGGGAGAAAGCTTATTACTTTTTTTTCCTCTCAGATAATGGATGATATCAAGGTGGGAATCCAGTATATATTCCAGACACAGAACCCTCTCACACTGGCTATCAGTGGCACAGGCCACTGTGCAATGGAAGCCGCCTTCCTGAATTTGGTGGAACAGGGAGACAAAGTCTTAGTAGCTGTGAATGGAATTTGGGGAGAACGAGCAACCGACATTGCAAGCAGACTTGGTATGAACTTGGGAGCCTCTTGTTATATATTTAATAGCCAGCTTCTTTACTGCTAGATGTAAACTGACATTTCTTTCCATTTTTCTATTGAACCATATCATTTACTCTCAGATGCCAAATGGCTGCATTTCAGAGAACAACCATTACAGCAATTTAGGCTGCAATCTTAAATCCCCATTTACTTTGAGCATACTTCTAGTCACAGCCATTCTGTGAAAAATCCTTCTGTGTCTCTGATGTGTACCATGATGTCAATTTATGTTTTTACAATCTCACTACCCTGTTTCCCCCAAAATAAGACACCCCTGATAATAAACCCAATCAGACTTTTGAGTGCGTGGCAATAAGGCCAAGCACTTATTTCAGGGTTCAAAAGAAATATAAGACAGGATCTTATTTTCAGGGAAACACGGTACATCCAACAAGTTGTTGCTGCATTAGTCCCATATAAATCACATTAAGGGGAGCATAAAGGTATGGATGGAGCTGAGCATTTCTTCATTAAAAGGCATGATTAGTTGATTAAGTTATAAATGATTCATTATTTTATTAATTTATTAAATTATTTCTTTTATTTTTTTACTTTATGATTATTTTAAGAATGGAACAGGTAATAATGACTTATTCAGTAAACCATGGTTAAAACAAATAATGGCTTACTATGTATGTATGGACCCATACAATGTCAGAGTAATTCGTAAAAGATTTATTGTGGCACAAAAATCCATACACTAAAACAGGTTTCCCCAGCTTTGTCTTGTAGATACACTGGGCTACGTCTCCTTTATAGTTGGGGAAATCTGGGATTAAAGATTATAGGGTGGCACACATGAAGCACGAACAGCAATACTGTAAATCGTATGTATATAAAGCAAAAACAAATTTCACATCTAATTTCAACTATCCAAGTGTAATGAAATATAATTTACATTACACTTGGATAAGCCATAACACCTTTAAGAAATACAAAGAATGAGAATTTTAATAACTTCACAATATCAGTGATAGGTATATTATTACATTGTTTTCTTGTAATGTATTACCCTAACTAGACTGTAGTTCTTTTGGAATAATCTGGGTTTGGCCAGGTAAGGGTCAAACTGTCCAAGAGGCCATTCTTGCAGTTACCACTTGCATGAACAACTTAAACAAGCTATTTAAAAAGAACACAAACAAATCAGCATGTTGATGCAAAAGACAGGCTGAATCATATGTTCCTTGGGGAGGTCCAGACCCATATCAAAAGCCCAATCCAGAGCTTCAAGAAAAACTTCCATTGCCTTGAATTGGATCATTTCTTCTGATGCAGATCCACAAATGTAATAATCTGAATTACCATCACAGCAGAGGGCATACAGTTAAATTCCTCCCCTATTCCATGCCAGGATCTTGATCAGTGATACCATTTGATAAAATCCATCAATGCAATTATTTTATTATATTCATATATAAAATACCAGTAAGTAATAAAATTTAAGTTATCACCATATATCTGAGAAAGTGAGAAAACCATAAATCTATTAACTTTCAATGGTACAGTGGCTGCATATGTGCTTTGCTTCCAGTAAGCATCATTGTGAAATTCCAATTGAGATAGATTCCCGTCTAATATCCTGAAGAACTGCTGATCAGAGTACTTAACTCTGAAACACATGAAATAGTCTATTTTTGAAAAACTTCATTATTGATTCAATCCTCTAATTGTGTCATTCAATTTTTTAGAGTAAGAACTTGGATTGGATTAGAATTCTTGATGGAATAACATTAAGATTACTGTAAGACTCTATGCCTTTTTTCTTTATGTACACTGAGAGCATATGCACCAAGACAAATTCCTTGTGTGTCCAATCACACTTGGCCAATAAAAAATTCTATTCTATTCTTAATTCAGAATAAAGTCTTTTTGCCTTTTTAATAATCAGTGAGACATTTTAATAATTAAATGCTCCCCCCCTCCCCAATGCCATGTTTAATTATAGCTTATGTTGAAAGGTCCCATGGAATCTAGCTGGACTTTGACAAGCCAGTGCTATGTATTCAAGTTAATATATGACTCGTAGCAAACAGTGAGTCTAAAAGTTGGGTGTGCTTTTCTACTGAAATGTGAAGTGATTATAGTCTTCTTGTTACTCAGGAATGCTAATCCAGTCCAAATTCTTAATCTCAAAGGCTGAATTACACAATTAGTAGATTGAACCAGTCATACAAATCATTGTAGCACAAGTTTGCAAGGTTTGCCAAGAAATATTTTGTGTTCATTTGTCACATTAGCATGCCTATCTGAAGCTCGCTGTTTAAGAAAAAGTTTTTTATTCAGGAAAATCCAATCTCATTAACTTGGAATTTCTCAAGGGATATAAATAGGCAATTTCTTTTCCTTCAGTTCATAATAAAATGGATTCCAATAAAATGAAGGGATTTGTCAATACTTTGTTATGTGATATGAAACACATGCTTTGTTTACTTTTTTTCTAAGCGTTAATATTTTTCTGAAGTTTCTGCTTCTTCCTTTGCTTTTAATTCCATATTATTATTATGCTTATATCTTTTACTCCCTATAGGAGCTGAAGTACATCAGTTGGTAAAGGCTCCGGGTGAATATTTTACTTTAGAAGAAATAGAAAGGGTGAGTTGTGGGCAAGTACCAAAAGTATATTATTTATTGAAATGAATTCATACTTTATTCCATTTGGATATACCAGGGACAACTCATAGAAATTCATCTTCTTACTTACCAGAAACATGCTATTGACTTTTTTCTTTGCATATTTTTTTTTCTTTTTCTCTTTATGTGCCACATAGGGCTTGATGCAGCATTCTCCCTTTTTATTTTTCATCACACATGGAGAATCATCCACTGGAGTAGTTCAGCCACTGGATGGCCTAGGAGACCTCTGTCACAGGTCAGTGAAAGAAGGAAAGTCAACCCCATTGGTTTTAGAACGAAAATAATAGGGCTGCTACCTATAGATGGAAATTATTCTGGGAGGTACTGTAAACATATTGCATATGATTGCCATTCAAAACAAAAGTATTTCAGCTAGATGTTTGGCTTCGACAATAAAACAGAAACAGAAATCATACTACAAATTGGACTACAAGGAGTATAATAGTGATGCATATTGATTGCCTTGTAGGCTACTTCAAGGTAGCTTACAAGTTAGAGAGTAAAATAGCAAAATGATAGTAAAAAAAAAAAAGATGAGCCAAAGAAACAATAATACATACAGCACACAGTGTATATATTAATGTGCAGAAAAGATAATGCAACCATACATCAAATGAGATAATGGTCAGATTCTTTTATGGCTAGCACTTGTGCTTTTTAAAATTCAGCTTCTAAAACTCTTGGTCATAAAACCTGTACCATGATAATTTATGTTGTTATTGAATTTCAGTGAAGTGGCCTAACAAGGAAAGATGGCTTGACATTTAAGATGTATTTACTGTATATATAGTGCATCCATATGATTAATTAAGAATAACTGTGTTATTATAAAGGCTTTGAGAAACATAATAATAAAGTACAGAAAGACAGTTTTGGGGTCCTTGGTGCTCTCTGAGCTTGGTTGTTTTCTTGAAGACATTTCATTACCAAACTATTACTGAAAAGGTACCTCTAGGAGGTAAACAAAATAACAAATGGACAAAATTTCACTTTTACAAGATTGTCTCAAGTACATAGAAATAAGAACAGTTTTACTTTTAACTACAAAAGCTACGGTACAACAAACAGGCAAGCTATGACGAGGAAAGATAGATTCGGAGAATGCTTCATTTTTCTCCTCCATTTACTTTTTGTTACAAATTGCAACTGTTTGCTCAGATAGAAGTATACTTTTCAAAGTTGCTCAACTGTATGGAGGAAGAATATGGAAGTCTTGTAACTTTTCTTCCATGAGTAATAAAATAATCCTGGGAAAGTGAGTTTCAGTCAACACGCCCCCCCGCCCCCGCCAGCCAACATTGCTCAAGAGACAAAAGTTAACAGCTTTCCAATATTTAACTATGAAACACATCCAAATGAAATCTGCTAAACGTATAATTTAAATTCTACCAATTTTTATTTAAAAGTCAGTGATAATCATTTGTAGATCACCAATATGGCTCTTACAGCATCACTAGCTGGCCTCTAAAAATTAATGTTTTAATTTTTTTTCAATTAAAATGGCTGAGATTCTACCAGATCTGTATTCAGTTGTGAGTTTTCAAACTTTCATTTTAAAAAACATTGAAAACAATTCATTTTTTAAAACTGGAACCAGCAACATCATGTAAAATCGTATAATATTGCTCCCTTTGTAGAAAAATAGTTGATCCCTGATATATTCTTTCATCATTGTTTTAGATATAATTGCTTACTACTGGTAGATGCTGTGGCATCATTAGGTGGCACTCCAATACTTATGGATCAGCAAGGTGAGCAAGATTCAGCAATCTGTCCTTGCAGCATGAACGTTTGTTTCTATTCTATAGCGTTAATTTCTGGATTTTTCTAAAATGTAGAACTGAATTTTATTTCTAAAGTTCTTAACCAGATTTAATTGATCAATCATTTTTAGCGAAAGTTCATACTAGAGGATAAATGTGAATTTGCTCAGAATATATTTTGGGCATGAACTCTTTTAATTGTGCAGTAACACTAGCAGAAAGAGTTTCAAAGGAAATATCACAGGAGACAATTCTATTTTAAATTATAGTGATGGTATATGAAAATCCATGAAGATCCCCAAACTGTTTCCAAAGCTCTTCCATTTCCTAACCAGTCCTCTGCTCCTAATTGGGGAGCTACTGCTTAACAAGGCAAATAACCCCACTTCATGAGAAAGATGTCCACTTCATGAGGAAGTCCCACTGTTATCATGTGGTCCATAAGGCATTTTCCTGCAACCACTGTAATGTAGTTATTAAAGTATTGGACTAGATAGAACTAGGAAGATCCAGAGACAAACCTACCATTAGCTACTGAATAACTTCTGGGCAATCAATCTCCCTTCTGCCAATTTGCTTCAAAGGGATCAAATGAAGAAAAATCCCCCTATAAGTCCCCTTGAACTTTTAGAGGCAGGATATAAATCTAACAAAACGTTGCCCTTGGGCCAAAATACAGATTCTTCTCAGGATACCTTGCAAAGAGTGATAAGTAAATCTAAAACTAAGTAAATCTTAAACTAATTTTCAGGTAACCCCTAGAGGTTCAGTCACTGGGAGTGAAGGAAACGGATGGTTAAAGATCATGCTAGCTGGATTGATCGAAATGGCTACTGACTATACTACACAGGGTTGTCAGGTTGGGGAAAACATACCAGTAACTACCATATATGGACCAAAAAGAGTGTCCCCCCTCAAAGAGTCTGGGGATTATATTATTTTTTAAAGTGCTCCTAGACCTTTGTGGGAAAGATGGGATAGCTAAACCAGTTTGTGTAGTAATGCATGCCACATAATACTGTATATAAAATGAACACAGCATTCCAACAAATCAATTTCACATTGAATTCTAAAATTAGCTACAAAATGCTGGTAGAGGCAAAAGAAAGTAGAAAGCAAAAAACCAAGGGTTTTCATGGTAAATTTATTTCCTGTATTAATAACAGTGATTCAAATGAAAAAGCTCCTAACAAATTTTCTTATTAAATGCACAGGTATTGACATTCTGTATACTGGCTCCCAGAAAGTTTTAAGTGCACCACCTGGTGCTTCTCCCATTTCTTTCAGCAACAGAGCCAGGTAAGGAGATTTGTCTATGAGATATATTATTTTCAAGTGCTGTATCTTTCTGGGACAAGACATAAGTACACTAAATAAGAGAAACAAGAAAATATTTATTTCTTGATATCCATTGAGCACAAAAATGTATTAAAAACACAAATGCCAGAACTGAACATATCTGGAAGGCAACACCATGCAGAAAGCTAGAGAAAACTTCCTCAGAGCTTAATGCAAAAATAAAAGATAATCAGCAGCTTCCACAGCAATATGTCCAACCTATTCTACAAGAATTATGCTACAACAGAATATCTTATTGCAACATGGTGACACAGAACCTATTGTGAAAAAAGAACTAGTTTGGTGTAGTGGTTTAAGGCAGCGTTCCCCAACCTTTGCGACATGGCGGGCAGGCGGGGGGGGGGGGGGAGAGGGAAACTGGGCCATGTGAGTGTCAGGCTGGCACACGTATGCAACCTTTGTGCAAGTGGTGGGCCAATAGGCACTCGCTTGAGTGCTGCAGGCCTGCCGCTTGCACAAGTTGAGCTGCGAACGTGCATGCACACACTCCAGCCAGTCATTTACATGGCCCAATTGCAAATAGGCAACAGTCCAGTAGTGGTCTGCAGCTCAGGGGTTGGGTATGGTTGGTTTACAGCATCAGGGTAGAAACTAGGAGACCATGAGTCTCTCAGCCCCAGGAAAGAGGCAATGGCAAATTCATTGGTCTTAGTATCTAAATCTCTGAGAGTCCAAACATCATGTGTTTTTGTAAACCTTAAACAAACATTTTACCAATTGCAATTAACCAAGTACCTCAGTACACAAAATATTGTATCTGAAAATCTCAGGCGGTATAGTAGGCACATTCTGCTATTTGATTGCATTGATTCTGTTTCCAAGACTGTCACACATTTTAGCAGTTGCAGGCAGGTCTACAATTTCTGACTTTAACTTGCATGGTTGCTTCCACTGAATAATAATACTATGCTTCAAACCATCCTGGGAAAGTGTATTGCATATAAGTACACACATAACATATAGATGTAAGTATATTCATTCATTTTAAAATATTCTTTTGCTTCCTGAATTACCAAGGTCTACTCAAGAATTTATTTATTTGTATTTATTTGTATCCCACCTTTATTACTTTTACAAATAACTCAAGGTGCTGAACACATCCAACACCCCTTTCTCCTTCTATTTTCCCCACAACCTCAACCCCTGGAAGTGGCCTGGGCTGAGAAATAGTGACTGGCCCAAAGTCCCTATGCGGAGTTCGCAGCAGATATTTTTTCTTTGCGCCCTAGGAGAGAAACATCTGTCGCTACCTAGGATTGAACTCTCAACCTTCCAAGCAGAAGGCGAGCATCTTCATCACTAGGCCACCATGCCACTCAGCACAAAGAATGCACTATGAACCATTTAAAAATAAATAACTGATAGACAATGGCTCTACTTTGAAGGGGGATTTCCTTCAAGTGCTAATCAAAAATGTTCATCTTGCCAGAAAGAAGATTCATACTCGGAAGACAAAGCCAACTTCCTTTTACCTGGATGTGGAAGAGCTATCTACATACTGGGGCTGTGATGGTAATCCAAGAAAGTGAGCATTTATACAACTCTTCTACTTTGCTCTTAAGAAAATGGCTTTCTTGTTTCCTGGAACTGGTCTGGGAATTCATGTTATGCTGCCAAATGAGAAAATGTTAAACAATACCAGCATTTTGATTAGTTAGTCCTTGACTTACAATAGTTCGTTTAGAGATCATTCAGTTACAATGGCAGTGAAAAAAGTGACTTATGACCATTTTTTCAGTTGTCACCTCTGCAGCGTTCCCATGATCATGTGATCAAAATTCAGATGCTTCGCAACTGGTTCATATTTATGACCATTGTTGTGCCCCAAGGTTATGTGACCACGTTCTGCAACCTTCTGACAAAGTCAGTTGGGAAGCCAGATTCACTTAAGGCAAGAAAGGTTTTAAAATGGGACTATACTCATTTAACAAATGTCTCGCTTAACATAAATGTTAGGCTCAATTGTGGTCATAAATCAAGGACTACTTGTATATCTGTGAAAATGCAGGAAATGACTTTGTAGAGGTAAACAATCAAATGTTTTGATCACTCAGTCCTGCCTTTCTTCTCATTTTCAAAGCAGTCTCCCTTATTGTTTTGCCTTGAAAGTATGCAAGTTGCATGACTCAGCTTTAAATTTTTAATTCTTAAATTATGATTCTTGGAGTGTTCTTATGGCTATAGAAGCTCTGTACAGAAGATGAATTTTGGTCAAGCAACCCAACCTACTTTAGAGGGCAATTGCCACGGGAAAAGTGGAAGTAAGACTGCTATGTGAATAATCTCAAAATTTTGAAGGAGGCAGAATATAAATCTAATGAAAAAATTCACGAACAAAGAAGGAAATATCAGTTTTTGATATTTTATATATTTTGTGACTTTATATATTTTGTGACTTTATATATTTAACTGACTTAGATTGTTCTACTCTCATTTCTGATCTTTTTTTAAAATTAAAACTGGCAGCAGAAAAGATTAACTGGAATCTGTTCATTTGTTTCTGTATAAGCTAAATGTATTATATGCGGGTTTTTTTTTACAGATATCATCATACTGCACCTATTAACACATTCTTTTGCTTGCGAGAAGCTTTGGCAATTTTTGCAGAAAAGGTTAGTTGCTGCAGGCACTTTATAATATTGAAAATAGCATGTTTTAAAAAAGAAAATTTTACTATTTTATACACACACTAGTAATGGGTTCCACTTACCTTTGCTACCGGTTCAGAATTGGGAGCACGCATGTGCGCTTGCTTTGCTCGTGTGCGGTGCTTCTGCGCATGCGCACAACCTTTTGTGCATGCGTAGAGCATCCATGATGACATCCAGGTGGGTGGGTGGAGCCTCTCGCTGCCGCCACTATCAGTTCGCCCACCGACGCACACACAAACATTGATATTACATTATACATCAGCAACATACTTAACTCCACTTAAATGGGCAGTTCAAGATGGTGGTTATAGAAGACACAGTGACCAAGTCCCTTGGGTGTTCCAATGTGGGATTCCCCAGGGTTTGGTCATCTCCTTCATATTATTTAACATCTATATGAAACTGCTGGAATAAGTCATCATTTGGTTCAGGATAAGGTATCATAAATATGCAGGTGATACCAGTTCACATCCCCAACCTGGGTTGAGCTGGAGAGACTCTGGAAATCTTGAACTGACACCCAGAAGCTATATATCTGAATATGGCAGTTATATTAGATAATGACTTGCCAAAATAGAATCTATCTCTTTTGTGAACATTTAGGGTCAGTTAAGGTTCATCAGGGCAGGGGTGGAAATGCTGCAAATGTTTGGAAGCTGTTATTTCTGTCAAATTTTTATTACCAGTAAGTACTGGCTAAATGGGTATTTTGAGTCTGTAAACAATAGTACATAAATATTAAGTATGTATTCAAATATGTAGAAAGATGTTATGCTTAACTCTGTACTATGGAGGCTGTTTTACCTACTGCTCACTTACAGAATTTGACCAGAGGTGCTTGCATTTTTTTGAACAAATGTGTTCAAAAAAACACATTTGGCTACTGTTTTCCCAATCATGCGGTTCTGAAAGAAAATGGCTAGAACTATAATTGATTGTTTATGACACAATAATCCAGGCAAAATTATGTCCATCACATTCCCAAGATTGGAGGTTTAACTGAACAAAATGCATAACATATATTTGCAGGTTTCTTAAACTTTATTTTTTTATATATAGGAAAATAAATATTTTCGTTTTCTACACAGGGACTAGAAACCTCCTGGAATCTTCATAAAGAAAATAGCCTCTACCTCTGTGCAGGACTGCAGAAGTTAGGTCTCAAACTCTTTGTGAAAGAACCAGTAAGAATGAAATTAATCATGAATGTAGAATATGGATCAAACTAATTACTCATTATAAAGTTTTATATGGGAAAGACTGTTTAGGGTAAATTTGGATAAATGAGCAAATAGGAAATATTGATTGCTACAAAGACAGAATAAAAAAAGGGAATCAGAATTAAATCCTTGCCTTCAATACTGTTTTTACCCACACTTGTTTACATAGACTTTAAGCCAGGAGAGATCATACTGGAGGTATGAATACTTATTCTGCTTTCATATCTTGAAAATAATGTTTTGTATGGTGGCAAAACCTGATCCAAAAGTATATAAATATACACAATTTTCTGAATTTATCCATTCATTAATAGATAATTGGTTACTTTTGCTAAGAGGCTTCTCAAATAATGAGTGTGGGAGAGGCACAAGGCCAGAACTAAAGAATAAATTTCCTTTTAATACTATTTATACAATTTCTGTTAAATTATGGAGATAAAGTGTTATTCAAATACCCAAACCACCTGAAAGGCTCTTTTGCTTTTTCTCTCTTCCAAGGATGCAAGACTTCCAACAGTCATCACTATCTTTGTGCCCGAGGGGTATGACTGGAAAGAAATAACTGAATATATTATGAAAAATCATGAGATTGAGGTGTCTGGAGGCCTGGGTCCTTCAGCAGGCAAGGTAAATACAGGCTCATGGGGAGAAAATAAGTGAAATAGATGTGGCTCCTGGTTCTTGAAGCATGCTTAATAAAGGTTGTATCAAACAGATTGAATTAATTACAAATTATATAGCCCAAAGATTTAACATTAATGGTAGGGTAAAGGCTGTAATTTCATCTTGTTTGTGAAAAACTGGTATGTTCTTTAGAATATAGCCACCTTTCTGAAGTTGAGGTTTTCTCTGTAAACAATAAAGAACCTTAAAGCATATTACCTGAAACCAGGGGTGGGATTCAGAAATTTTAGCAACCGGTTCTCTGCCCGGTTGCTGGGTGGGTGTGGCCATGGTGGGCGTGACCTACTCAGCCCCCTGCACCACTGGGGGGGGGGAGCTTTTTGCTCTCCCCCGACTCCTGAGGCTTTCCTTGAGCCTCTGGGAGGGCGAAAACAGCCTCCCCTGGTTCCGAAGGCCCTCTGGAGGACAGAAACAGGCCCGTTTCTGAGCTTCGGGTAGGCCCATCTTTCGCCCTCCCAGAGCCTCCGTGTGGGACCTGCACTTACCTGGCATCCAAAATGGAGACTCCTGGGACAGGCGGGGTCAGCCAGTCCTTGCAACAACTGGGTTACTGAACTAGATTAAAATTAACATCCAGTTTGCCCGAACCGGTCCAAACCAGCTGAATCCCACCCCTGCCTGAAACCATTTCTCTGTGAAATAAAAAAGTCTCAAAGAGGATTATCTAATAATAAATATCTAATAATCTTTAGTCTGTATGAAACTGTGGTTTTTTTCACCAGGTTCTTCGCATTGGACTGATGGGCTACAACTCCACTAAACCCAATGTTGACAGAGTCCTTCATGCCATGGGAGAGGCCCTCCAGCACTGTCTCAAGAACAAACTCTGAGTTCTTTCTACTTTCTCATTCTTCAAGACAGCACAGATAATTAATCAAAGTACTGGAGAGGTTTTCTGCACAAGTTTATTAATTGTATAATTCAAAAATACATGTAGCCACAGCTCACATTTTACACAAAGATAAAACATTTTCATTTCAATTAATTTTTACTAATATAATCAAATTATATGCAAACTGCTACGTGGGATTTGGCTTGCTCTTTTGCATTTCTTCACTGAATGTATAGTCTTGTGCAAAGTGGCTAAAGTTTACATTATACACACTTTGGATAGCATGCAGGTGTATCTATACCAACTTTTATTTTTCCTAAAATAGTTTCCTGTTTCTGATTGTGACACTGACTCGTCTAAACTCGAGTAAATTGTTCAATTCTGGAAACTGTTGTGCATACAATACTGACATTCACCTGTTTTAGCTGTAAGTTATAAGTATGGAAAGCCACCATTATGACAGAGTAAGTGACACCAATTGAATTAACTTGAAAAGATAACTTGGAAATTGTCTGCCCAGCAAGACACTCACTCTCAGAAAACAAATTAAGTCTGAATCACTTAGTAGTTCATTCACCGTATCACCTCCTTCTTCTAGACAACTATATGGTATTTGTCATAGTATTTTTAAAAAAAATATTTTAAAGAGTATCTAAATATTCAAAAGTAAAAGAACTTGGGGTGAAAAATTATGATAAATAGCATTCAGCAAACTTACTACCATCAGATAACATTCCATATAAATTACAATAAAATGCTGCCAAATGAAGAATATTTTTCATTTATCAAACATGGTTTTTTACTGAACAGCATCAACTTATGCATAAAAAAAAAAATCCAAAATTTTTTGAAAGAATAAAAGGGCATAGTTTTCCTTGAAATCTTGGTAACTACTGAAATTGAAATTTATGATTAGTGACCAGCAAATTAACTAAAATTAAAACAAACTGTACACAGAAGCATGCTCAAAATACAGTAAGAGCAATAAAATCACCAAATGGACGTGCCAGTTAAAATTTTCAAAAAAGAGAGACTAAGCAAAATGAAATAAAATAAAGACAAGCATAAAGATTTCTTAGTGACAGCATTACAAGATTAAATCACCTTGACCTTTCTTATGGCAACAGCTACTGATAAAAACATAGCAGTCTGTTCATAATCTCAGGATTCTGGTCTGGGAACAGAAAATGTGCCATGTTCCCTCATGGAAAACAGATCTCTACTAAAGGATAGTACAGACACAATAGTATGTAAGTTGATAGAAAGAACAGTGAAGAAATATATACCTCATTCTGACCACGGGGCCAATTTCTCTCAATGAATGAAATTTTATGAAATCTGGGATCCTATATTGCCCTGAAGCAAGCCAAAGAAAAGGCTCTGTAGTGTGCTGAGTAGGATAGACTGAACAGGGTGTCCACAGGTCAAGAAGGAACTCATTCCTGTAGATTGTCTGTAGCGCTCAAGTCTGTGTGATATGTGATGAAGATTCTTTGATGAATCTTGGCTTTCATTTTCTCTAGGTGTAGAAGTAGCAAAAAGCAGACACAAAGGTTGCAGTTACACAGATGAGCTAAGATACTTACCATCCATCTTGATGCACAGTCTTCAAGAAGAATTAGTGGGGCTAATGGATCATGAAAAAAATAAGTTTGTAGTCATATTTGGGTGTTGTTGTTGTTGTTGTTTTTGCAAGTGTGGAAGCAAGTTGTCATACTTTTTTCTGGGATGTTCTTTTCAAATTCCCATCTTAGAATTTTATGCATGGTGTATAGCATTTTTAAGGCTAACCAAAGCTAGTGTTGCTATCTGATAAATAACATCTCTAGTGCAGTCAAGAAAATCATATTAATAAACAAAATAGTCAAGAATCAATCTCAATCTGAAGTTTACCTTAGTTTAAAGATGCATGTATTAGGGTTAAAGAGTGGCAGTACTTGTTAGAGTGTTATTGCTAAGATAAACACATCAATTCCAATGGTACCTGTACTTTCATTTATTTACTGTTAACAGTTCTTAAAATTTTCTGACATGTACCAGAAAATAACTGCACATGCCACAAACAGTAACAGCTTGGTTATACTATCTTGAATCCTTCAACAACAACAAGAAGCAATGTGTAAAATGGTCTGGAAATGTTCTATGTACCTATCTTTCCCACGGAAACATGCGTTTGGGTCAGAATGGAACGGGGCAATTTTTGTTCCACTGAAACAGAACTGTTCAAAGTAATATTTGGAAGGGAAGAATGGGAGGGAAACCAAGAACATTAACCATGGCTGAGGGAGGCAGGGAAGTTTTGAGAGGTAAAAGCTGGTGAGCTACATCATGCTGGGAACACTGAGGAGAGAGAAGGCAATTATTACATCCATCAGTATTGTCCTACTTGCCCTAGGTTTCCTGCTAGTTTTGATTCAGCTAAAATCTGGAATGAAAACGGCTAAGAAAATTCTGTAGAATGTACGTAGAAAATGCACTGAAAAAACAGTACATATTAAATAGCACAAAACAATATAGAAGTAAAAGAAAATACAAAAATGTAGTTGACTGTTGAAAAATATCAAGAGTTGCCTTTAACTTAATTCAAGTTAGGTTCTGTTTTCTTTACAAAATATTTCAGAGGGATGTTAACTTGACTGTACATAAACATAGCCAAAGACGGTATTCCTGAAATGTCTTGAATCCCAAGGAAGAGGAAATAGAGATGGGCTGAAGCGTCTTTTCTTTTTGTTTCTTTATCTTCCTTAGGAAATTAAATGTGATTTCATTAAGTGCAAATCAACAGTTTTACATTCTTAAGACTCATGTCCCCTTGCCCACTGTATTCAAAAGGCTGAACATGTGTAATATTTTTCCACTTAACAGGAAGTTAAAAGCCTAATTATGAGCAATATATGGTGATTTTCAATTTATATTACAAGAATGTAATTTAATATTGTCCCAGAAAGACATAATCTTATGCCTCGTTATATGGCTATGCATGACTGTTAAATTATTCAGAATTAGCTAGAAGCAAGTATACCAGCATCTGAACTGATTAAGAAAGGCACTGCTGCATCGGGTTAATACTCCTGGAGTCCAACATATTTGTTCTAAACTAAATTAATCAAGAAAACCATGAGTAAAATACAAGGCAGAATAACTCAATCACTGTTTAGCCTCAATTACATGTGGCATTCTGATGTTGCCTTTGGCTCTTCCATTTCCAAGCCTTAACTTCATAGCTTTTAAATTCCTGCAATATGTCTTGTTTTCAATTAACTAGACTAGAATATTTTGGGCTCATATCCAGCTTCTTTGAAATAAATTATTTATCTATCTGCTTTTTAAAGTATTTGAGTTATAGCTTATTAATGTAAGTATAATTTCATAAAGAGGACACAAACAACAAGGAAGGTTATTGAAGTAAGAGTTGAGGATAGAAAAAATAAAGTGTGGAAAACAGAACAAAAAAAGTACAATGAACTTTACCACACCTGAAAATAAGAAGCAAATGCTCAAGAACCTAAATTCATTCAATATTGAACCATTCTCAACAAAAGAATTAAGAGAAATTTCTAAAAAGGTATTATTCTTGACTAATTTTGACAAGTCATGAGAGGGGGAGGAGCTTGATACAAGTCCATTTATCATATTCTTTAAAAAAGAATATTAGAATTAAAAAATGAACCTTATTTTTGTTAAACAGTCAGCTTCCTAAAAAGATGTAGCTGTCTGTCCATAGATCCATGCCTGCAATATAACCTTTGAATGAATACATACATATATACATATATATACATATATATATATATACATATATATATACATATATGTATATATATGTATATATATGTATATATATATGTATATATATGTATATATATATAAAAATAGGGCAAAGCAATTTTAAATAATATTATCCAGTAAAAGGACATTTGTTTTTTATTTACAGTGTTTGTACATATTTATAGTAACATCAAAAATATTCACAATGCAAAGTGCAAAATGTCACTTCGTTATCACTTACCATCTTAATATTTCATTAATTCACCTTGCCCACCCCCATTATCCAGATTGTCTTAGCATAGTTTATATCTTCCTTCCGTATACATAGCCACTCTAAAAGCAATCTTCAAATGTATAGCTGAAAATCTGCACATTTCAGCTTTATTCAACACAGGTTTAGGCATATCTATATCTCAAAATAAATGGATATGCATATTTGTAAATGGAGTCATTACAACAGAATTGGAAGTGCCTGTGTAATAATAATAATTCAGAGTGCAAAAGCAGTGGTCAAGATAAAGAAGCACTCCCTATCCTTTCTCACAGGGAATGAATTCAGATAATGCTGTCAAGAAAGTGATTTTTCTCAGTATTATTAAGCCTACAACAAAATTCAAATCGATGAATTAATTGTGGCTTTACTTCTAAAATATTAACTAGCAGGAGAGTACATTATACACACCTGCAGAAGTCCAAACCCAACAAGCTTGTAGCAATAACACTGAGAAATTATTTCACCTACTACATTCCCTGAATTGCTATGACTTGCCTTTCAGAGTAAAAGAAAACATGAAAACCATATATAAAAACTCTAGCTTTATTTTTGCAGTCTCCTTCCAGCTTATTAACAGTTCCAGCCAGAGGCACAAGCTCTAAAAGTTGCTTTGATATAATGCAAAGTGTCTAGGCAGCAGAATATTTATTAACTATAAATAAATGTTTGGGATGACTGAAACTGGTGAGTGAAATGAGACACTCAATTTCTGACTGGCGCTCTTGTCCCTTGACAGAGATACCTGTGGGCTTAAGACCACAGAAAACTTACTTGGTAAACAACAAGATATGAGGCAGAGATTACAAAATTATATAAAAAACTTATCTTAACATTGTTCTTCTCTGCTCCAGGAATAACTTATTCCTCTACCATATATATTTGGTAAATAATGTATTTTAAAAAATATTTAAGCTCTGATTTACATCCAGATTTTTTATGGGGATGCCTATCATATTTCCAAGAGCGTACCTCCAACCAGCAGTCAATTCTTTTACTTAAATCAATTCACTGTTACGATTTCATGTTATGTAAAAGTAACACAGAGTTTTATAATAAATGTAAGTTTCTGAAGCAGCATTGTATCTGCCTGGGGAACTCTAATTTTGTTGCTGGAAAATTCCAGTAGGCATAATTTCCACAATTCGAATTTTGGTATCATTTATGTGTACTGAAAAATATTCCATTTGGAGATCTTGGAATTCTGCTTTCTTAAATCCAAGGAGCTGTCACTAGTAACAAGTGACGGTTAAGAGGCAAGCATAAATCACATTGAATGTGTTACCTGTCATGTAAGTATCTTTTTGTTTTAAAAGAGGAAGTACAGGTACATTAAGCTGAGGTTTAACAAATGCATATATTTTACTTAAAAACATTCATCTGATCAAAATAAACTTCATGGGACAAAACTGTTATTAAATAACATTTCAATTCAAATTGTATATAATTTTTTAAAGTTTTCATACAGCAAACAATGGTTCACCCTTGAAAATCTGTAGAAAAAAATCACACATACATACACACACAGAGAGGGAGGGAAAAGAAAAAGAAAAAGCTCTGAGGTATCACACCCACCCAGACACAGCCTTACATCAGCTGTGGTATAAGCAGAATATTGTAGGCCCAAAGAAAAAAAAGACTACTGATTGTTCTAGTAGAGTTCAGGTAGTTCAGACAAAAATATCCCAGAATAGATATCTGAATAGAGGAACTACCTCAATAAAGTCCTCAAG